GTCAATCAGGAAAAACAAACAAACTCTATAAATCCTTCGTTATGAATTGTAATAGCAAAAAGGAACAACGGTACAAAAATTATACAAACAAACTAAATCATATAATAAAAATAGCCAAAAAACATATTATGAATATCAATTGATCAAATTAATACAAACAGAATTCAAGAATGGTGTGGAAAACACTTAATAATGAATTACTCAATAAGCCCAAGAAAAGCACGAAAATATCACAAAGCTTTGTTGAAACCAACTCATCAAATAATTTAGATGATCCCCAAGAAATAGCTAATCACTTCAACGACTACTTTACTAATGACCCCATTTGGCAAATAAAATAAAACAAAATGACAATAATAATTTTAATAAATATCTGAAAAGTGACTTTAGGTTTTCCTTATCCCATCACAGAAAATGAATTAGAAGTTGAACTAAAAAACATCAAGCAATATACGATGTGGATATGATGGTATTAGCACAACCATTACAAAACTAGCAGCTAGAGAAATCTCTAAATCATTAACACACATTTTCATCTAACATTTACGACTGGAATCATTCCAGACAATCTAAAAGTCGCATTGATTACACCAATTTTCAAGGCTAATGACGAAATGAAGTTTGAAAACTACCGACCAATATCAGTTCTTGTTTGTTTTGCAAAATTGTTAGAAAAACTTATGATTAATAGACTGTCAAAATTTATTGATAAAAATAAAATTTTTTCAAAGCATCAATATGGATTTAGGAAACAGAGATCAACTGAACATGCATTAATTGACTTTATTGATAAAATTACTAATGTAATTGATGATGGTAAATACTCTGTTGGTATTTTCCTTGATTTATCTAAGGCATTTGATACAATTGATCACAAGATTCTGATAAAGAAATTGGAACATTATGGTAATAGAGGAGTGGCCAAAAAACTGATTTCTGTTGTATTATTTGCAGATGACACAAACGTACTATATAGTCATGAATGTCTTAGAAAATTGGATGAATTCATTCAAGTCGAAATTAAAAAAAAATTCAGATTGGCTTAATGCAAATAAATTGTCTATGGATGCAGAAAAAACAAATTTATTCTTTTTAGAACAAAAAAAAAAGAAGCTTGAAGATACCATTAACATTTCGATCAATAATAACAATATACAACAAGTCTAAAACACTACATTTTTAGGGATTGTTATTGATGAATTCTTGACATGGTGTAACCACATGGATTTGATTACAAAAAAATCATTAAATGTGCAGCATTCATTTCCAGGATAAAGCATTTCACAAACTTAAACTCTTTGAAACTAATATATTATGCCTTGGTCCATCCATATATCTAACGTATGGCAACCTAATATGGGGTAACACCTACAAATCCCGTATTAAAAAGTTAGTAAATATTCAAAAAAAATTGTGAGATTAATGGCTTTCAAATCTTCTTTTGATCATTCCGAACCAACTTTTAAAGAATTGCAAATACTCAATTTATTCAAAATAAATGATTATTTAATAAGGATATTCATGTTCTGATATTTCTATTTACAAAACCTTCCAGAAATATTCAGAAATTATTTCTCTACTAAAAAGGAAATTCATAATCACAACACGCGAAACTCGAGATTACTACACAAAAAGTTCAGTAGAACCAACTACGCAAAACATACGCTTGCTAGTAGAGGCATAGAAGTTTGGACATAGAAGTTTACACAATCTATATGTTATAATATTTGATTGTATTAAATACATTTTACGAATGAATAAAATCCTTTAAGGTTCAACTACGAGACTATTGTCTTTCAGGGTGTTATGTACTCGACATTCAGTGTTAAAAGATGTATATTTCATATCAGAAATAATTTATATACACATACAAATATTACGTCATTGAATAATAATTATTCCTAACTAATTATTCCAAAGTCTCAACACAGGGTAGCCATTTGTCTGCTTCAGCCCCTCTAAAATTTTCGGACTTTCAAACTTTGAACACAGTGCAGTTGCCGAGAAGAAATTTTGTGAAGTTTTAAGAAATTTAGCTGTTCCAAAATGTATAATGATAAAAATGTGCGCACGAACGACTAGAGTCACTCAATAGCATAGTCATTCGATTGCGAATGTCGCTGTTAATGCTATGAGTGTGGTTTATTGGAAAACGCGGACACCGGACAGCGGACACTTTTCAAAATTTACGATAAACATGAATTAAAACCTGTTAAAGTATGTCGTCTAAACGTCGTTAAAACGTGTTAAAGTATGTCGTCGTAAACGTGTTAAACTCCTTTAGTTAGCTCAGGGTAAAACACTAACTAGTAAAACTTTTTGTTTAATTCCCGCGTTCTTTTTTTCAGAAAAAATATTCAGGATTGATTACGGAATCATTTGAGTTTGCATCCATGGACATTTTTAAAGAAAGATAAATCGTCATTTTCCATGTACTAGAACACCTAAATATATTATTGTCCAACATAATTCCTGAAAGACGACAAAGTACATACAAGCCTATTGTAAGCTATTGCACTTACAAAAGTGATCTGTCAGGCAGAACGAAATATATGTATATTAACCAACCGAAATACACATCAAATCAAAGCAGTGTATAAAATATTCTAATTTCTCAAAATTTAAACTTTAATGTGAAAAGCGTCTAGAATACGCCCGAACAAAATCTATCTTACAATAACAATGCTGACCTATCTTAAAAAAATATAACGTGGGCGCTAACATATTTTTTCAGGGACAAGGTTTGGCAATCTCGTGCCAATTAAAGGCGAGGATGACTGCCAGAACGACCGTTGCTGATACTACATGTACAAGGTAAAAATTGATTGTTCTAATCTTAAAAAATATTCTTTCTAGTGACAAAGTTGCGCCCAATATTGACGAAACATGATTATGCGCGCTCAAAATCTAGAAAATGCAACACTTTCTCCTCTTGCGGCATAACAGAAGAAACAACCGAATTGTAATTTCCCAGGCGGTGGGAAGCGCCGACCGAGGGTGGTAATTCCGCTCGGATATTTTAATTACGCCCGGGAATGCAAATGCGAAATATTTTTAAGATATGCGCACGCGTGAGTTTGAGACATGTTGAAACTGGTAACTAGCAAACGTTTGCAAACGTGCGAATAACTAAATTAAATTATTCAGCATAACTGATATTTTGAGTTTTAAAACCTTTTTGAATTAATATTTTCACTTGGATGATTATGAAAATATACAAAAAATTGACTTTAAGAGAGAATGTAAAAGTTGCCTTCGGGTAGAAAAACATTGTTTCAAATGAACGATTCTCAAGCTTTTTTAGAGTGTTTTTGAACATGGGTAAATGAGTAAATTTTGTATTTTAAATTATTAACGTATTTTGTAAATTTAATATGTGGATTTATCAACAAATGTATGACACATCTTTGAATTTATTCGCAAATCTCGTTAAAATTATTTTGATTGGGAAAGCATTTATTTTGAAAGGTGAATCTGCTTAAAAGAAATTGAAATTTCGCTAAAAATTGTAGTATTGAAAACTATTCGTAGTACAATAATACGATTATAGTTGAATTCGATAGCTCGAGAATCGACTTTACGATATAAATTTTACTTTTACGACTTCGACCATTCAGCAATAACGAACATTGAAAAATATCACTGTTGAAATACATGATATATATTTGCTTCAGGCCAGGTTTATATTTGCAATCAAAAGTTAACAAGACGCCAAGTAGGCGTTATGGTCGCGTCGTTCACAGCGGCGTAGCCAGCCAATGCAGCCATGCAAACTTTGTGTCGTAAATGTTCTTAATAATAAAAATGAACAATATACCGAACTGTCGGTCGCATGTTGAAAGCAGGAGAAACACAGAACAGCCCATTTCAAAACCGCTCTACATCTTTTACTTAGGGTAGCAGGTGTAGGTTTACTGTGCTCGATAAAAGTTTGTCAACATCACATCACATACGCCCAATCCTAGCTCAGGTCGTTCGTAAGTGGCCTGCTTATGCCAAAAAATATATATTACTTCATGCGAAATACAGTGAGCATGAGCAAAAAGCGTTTTGATTTGCACTTAAATATATAGCAGTTGTTTACTATATAATTGCTCAAAATTATACTGAGCTGTAAACATTGCCGATAGTGTGCCGAACCTTGACCATACATTATATGTCGAAACCTGTCGAGTATGCTCAGAAATTAATTTAAAGCTTCTTTCATTCAAAGCTGAGGGCACAGAAACGACAGTTCAGACACGGTCATCGCGCAGAAAGTTGCGCATTTTTGGTCGCGTCGCGTAGCGACAGCGACCTACAGTTTCGGCTTGGTTTTTTTTTATTTTCCTCTCGGGTCGACCCTCAGCGTGGCTAGCTGAAGGCCATATCACCCTAATCGGGAACCTGCGCACAGGTAAGTTGCTAGTTGGTCGCGTCGCGTATATAAACAACTGCACACGTGGTGAAATGACTGATAATGGAAAATGAAAAACTTTTCCATCCGCGCATAGGAACTACGTTTTTTAGTGACCGTCTTAATTCATACCGGATTTCTAGTGACCCCTTTCATTACTCGATTTATATTTATTTGGATATAGCAATAAAAACTCAATATAATCAAAATAATTAATTAGCCTCCAGAAGCCTATAACGATATCTAAAAAACAAAGATGTAAGAAATTGGACAACATTGGTCGCACCACCATGCATGGTGGGTGTCGAAATTTTTCAAATTGTAAGCCTTTAGATCTTTGGAACCAGGCTACTTAATAATTATTCGAATACCCTAAAATTCCTATAAAAACTCCAGCGTTTTATTTTATCAAATAGCTTACTATTTTGACATTTCTTTAAACTCAATAAGACAAGACAAGATACAGTTCATCATAAAGGATTAAAAAGGTTTAGAAGGCGGTAAGAGACATCCATTCACCACCGTGGAGCTTTGAAAGCTTTAGGGTACAGGGTTAGACCGGTTAGTGTATTGTGAGTATAGACTCTGTACGGACGAGTGGCTCTATCGAACTGATATATATTTTTCTCAGTTACCTCCTAATCGTTCACAATTATGTTCATGTCCCATGAATCGTTACGTATAGAGAGGTATACAGTCGAAAACATGGGGTAATAGACAGTTAAATTTCACATGTGTACACTTGTTATATTTTTGGGATTTTTGGCACGAAATAGCGTATTTTCCACCGTATAACCCTAGAATTTTTCAAATCAATTGCATTTCTCCTACAAACAAAGCTAGGTGCATGTAACCACTCTAGGCGAGTGTGTTTTCAGATAGAGCCAAAATTTCAGGCGACGCACTAATAAAGAGGCCAGTTGTTCGAAAGGTGCATGAATGTAATAGTGAATTTGCTAACAAGTGGATATAGTTATAGATAAAAACGCGTGGCACGAAACATGGATAATCGACCAAAATTCCAACCAATCCAAATTCCAACCAGTGATAACCAAAATTCACTAGAAGAAACCGGATTTTTTTAAAACTTCCTACCGCAATGTCAGCTGTTGCTAAAATGTATAATACTCAATTCATAATCAAATACTCAGTTAGGCATTTGGACGCATTAACGAAATAATTGACTAATTTCATGACCTCGGTGCGATTATTATTCATCTCGGCGTTGCAACCCGTAAATAAAGAATGGTTTACACTGCCTCTCGATTTACTTGCACGGCACTGTTAAATAGGTACCCCTGCCCATTTGACTGCGCTCGACCTTTGTACTGCATGGTAGTACGAGCACGGATAAAATTGGGTTTGGGTACCCATTCTAGGCGTTCCGTGTTAATAAGTTGAGTGTAGCTAATTGTTTATACCTTCTTGACAGCTTCAATTCGGAGACAAAGAGCAATGCTGATAATATTGACATCATGCATGAGGGATGCCATGTTTCGAAGTCACGTTATTGCTACAGAGAGAAATGGGCTTGGGTTCAGATGATTTTGATCATATTTCTTGAAAAACTGTTTGAAATGTCTGCTATCTTCATTTCACGTCGACCTTTTCGAGTAATATTTTGTTGTCTGCTTGTCACTATTGGCCTAACGTGTGGCTTTGCAATGTTAAAAGTTGACAAAAATGTGAAATATTTGTACCTACCTGAAAACAGTGAAGCATCACAGGATATAAGAAAGGCGAGAAGTCTAGGGTTTGAACTCGAAGTACGACAAGAAGAGGTTGTTATTTTGCCTAAACATGGCAAATCCGTTCTGTCGCAAGAATGTTTGGCAGAAATGATTGATTTACACAACATTATTACAGATATAGATCACTACGACGAATACTGCTATAGGAAAAACTCAAATAGAAGTTGTGCTTCAACAAACCTGTTAGAAATTTTCAGTTATCAAAAGGAAAACTTAGTTGCCAATCTTACACAACGTATCCAGACCGTTCTACAAAATGATGCTTTTCTTATGGCCAATGGCAGAAGACTCGTCGATAATTTTAATAGAATTTTTGGAAATAATGCTTCCGGCGATTCACTTGATTCCACAAATGCGCTGAGAATGGCTTACTATATGAAAGAATATGATAGAGATGGACAGGAGAAGGAGAACATTTTGGATTGGGAGAGTATTTACCTCAAAAAAATATCATCATTTTCAAAAAACACTACCTGTGCGAATGTTTTTTATGCTGCAGAAAGAAGCTTGGACGACTCTGTATCAGAAAGTACTGGTTCTGATATTTCGTTTTTCGCAGTAACATTTACAATCATGGGCATTCTTAGTGGCATTGTGAATGGAAGATGTGGTGATGCTCGTTTTGGTCATCAATTGTTAGGATATGGTGCATTGTTGTCCATTTACTTGGGTGTCACGAGTGCACTTGGCCTTTTAATGATTGTTGGTGTTCCCTTTATCAGCATGGTTGGTGTTCTACCGTTCTTGGTTGTAAGTATCGGCATAGACGATGTTTTCATTATCCTACACGAACTTAATGAAATGATCCGTCAAGATTTGCCCTCGACGCATATGCTAAGCGGGACAATGGCTAGAAGTGGTCCAACTATTACCATGACAACCCTTACTGATCTTGTAGCATTTGCCGTTAGCAGTAGTTCCATTTCCCTTCGATTCGTCTTTTCTGCACTTACACAGCTGTTGCAATCTCATCTGTTTTCATTCTGTTGCTGACATTTTTTGTTGGTTGCATGTGGTTTGATATCAAAAGGATAAACGCTCAACGCAGAGATTTCTTGCCTTGCCTAATGAGTCGTCCTCCAACTGATTGTTGCTTTGGAATTCGGAGAAGTGGCTTTGACAACGTTATGAAAGCATGGGGAAAACTAATTACTTCACCTGTTGGAAAAGTCTTTGTGTTCTTAGGTTCACTACTTCTCCTAGCTTTTGGAATTTATGGCGTTCTTGGCCTCGATGAAAGTTTTAACAGAAAGTGGTTAACAACGAAAGATTCACATTTCCGAAAATTCCTAAATGTTTATGAAGAAAACTTTCACCTTAATATCGAAGTTAGCATAATTTTCCCGGAAAAAACTGATCACTCGAGCATTGAAATTCAGAAAATATACTCCCAAGTCGAAACTCTTGTTGAAAGTAACCAATATTTTTCTCCAAGAAGGATATCGTGGTTATCCCAATATATATGGTGGGCACAGAATAGAAAGATCAAAATCGATAATACCAGAATGTTCCATCACTACTTGAAGGAGTTTATTTCACTCCCGGAGTATCAAAGGTTTGCCCAGGATGTAAAATTTTCGAAAGATAAAACTCATTTGACGGCTTCAAGGATGCTAGTATATTGTAAGAGTGATCCTGACTCAAACTTTCAAAGAAATATGATGGCGAGCATTCGAAAGGATCTCCACTCAGCGGATGCTCGTGCATTTGCTATTGCCTTGCCTTTTATATACTTTGAACAGTATGCTCATGTACTTAATGAAACCATCAGGAACTTGGTTGTTGCTGGAATTTCAATTATTTTGATATCCTGGTGTTTATTAATCACTTTGTAGTAATATTTTGTCTTATATGGGGATTCGGTGCTCTTATATTTGAACTATTTGGTCTAATGTACATCTGGAATGTCTCTTTGAACTCAATCTCTATGATTAATCTTGTTATGGCTTTGGGATTTTCTGTAGATTACAACGCACATGTCGCTTTCCACTTTGTTTCCTCCCGGGCAACAACTCCCGAACTCCGTGTCATCGATGCTCTAAGCAAAGTAGGCGGAAGTGTTTTTTTAGGTGGGCTTAGCACATTCCTTGGAATGATGCCAACGGGATTTACCTCCTCCATGGTATTTCAGACATTTTTCAAAATGTTTGTTGGTATCGTTTTTCTTGGTTTACTTCATGGTTTGGTTATACTACCTGTGTACCTGTCTCTACTCGGAAAGCTCTTTAATCTTCGTGGAAGTAACCTTGACTTGTCAATCATAAAGTGGTTCAACATTACAAAAAGATACAAATCTAGTAGAAATACAAGCCGAGGTTTATCTGGATTACACGCAAAAACCAAGCAATCCAATCCGATTGCCATTGTGGGAATGAGTTGTCGTTTTCCAGGTGGGGCAAACTCGAAAGATGCATTTTGGGATATGTTGGTGGAAGGTCGATCTAGTATTGGCTCGTATCCAATGAACAGGCCAGACGCAAGGGAGTTCACAGATTCGTTTAACCCAGGGAAGCACACGCCAGGGAAGCATTACATCCTTACTGGCGCATTTCTTGA